TAAAAATGCTAGTACAGTACCTAACTTCTGGACTCTTGATTTGCTTTGGACTCGGCCTTCTCAACTTGGATGCCACACCGTTTGTATTAACGTTACGGACATTGGAAATGCTCATTTGACAAATGGAGTCATGTTCCGAAGAACAGTCACTGGTAGTAGCATCAAAGTCAGGATCATCCACAGCAACGGCGTTTTGTTGTTGTTCAGGGTGCACCTTCACACTATCATCAGCTGAAAGTTTGTCATATAACATCTCCGGTGGCTGTTTTTTAGTAGGCTCATCCAATCTTCCTAGCGAATAACCCCTACTGATACCAGTTTTCTTATTAACCATAGCCTTGCCAACCCATTCCCCAGTAACCGCGTCTCTCTCGTATTCATTTGAGCCAGGACTAGTACTAGGTTGACATGGGAGTGTGTTCATCTGAGAGTCATGAGGATCTAAGCTTTGCTTTCCTCCAGTTGCTGTAGAGTTCTTCCTACCCTGTATAATATAGCACTTCTGAGTTTCCAGCCTACGGTTTTAGTTTTCTATATGAAACTATTCCCAATATATGGGAAGTAAACAAGAACAACATACTTCAAAAAAAAAAACAAGAACAACAAACTCTTATGTGCTATTCCCAGTATAATCTCAACTACATTTGTAGTTGGGTTCTTGGGATTAAAAACAGCGAGACTGTTTCCATCTAGCCCTTGATGATTTTTTTCATTTACTACCCAAAACATCATAGAAAGTAAGAAGCATGAGAAGTTTAATGAGCCATTTTGCTTTAGTTCATTAATAGACTGAAACTAAAACGTTATCAAAAACAACTTTTGGATCTATTGACAGTGGATGCTACATACTGAAAAGGGGTGTCAAATTTTAAAAAAGAGAAAGTTTTGCAGAAGGGAAGGATGAAAAGCCTGCTGCTGAACCATCAATTAACAAATAACGAGAGAGTTCAACGAATATTGATGTTTTGATAAATGTTTGTACTCTGTATATAGAGTATAATGCTTATACTTTGTATAGAGGGTACTAAATTCCCATCCATATTGAGAATGCTTGGAATACTATGACAACTCAAAACTAGGGTGCCTGTTTCCAAGAGGGTGTGTGTACGCAGACCTTACCCTACTCAAAAGTAGGGTGGCTGTTTCCAAGAGACCCCCAGCTCAAGTAACACATGCAGCAAGTTGAGCCCCTTAAACACATAAAGCATATAGCACGGAAAAGGAGTAGCAAAGTGCAAAAGCAGACTAAGGTGTACGAACTATGAAAGGGAAAAGCAACAAGCAGACACAACTAACAGAGAAAGCACATAACAACAAGTTCGAAAACAACTACCAAGCCCAAAAGCCTACCCAACTACCCTAGCTCTCGCTCTCTAGCCGCTCCAATCTAAGGTCATATCCTCAGTGAGGGCTAGAAGCCTTAGGTCTTGAATAAACACTTCCTTCCAATTTTTCCTAGGTCTACCGCTTCCCCTGCTCCTGCCTACCACCGTAAGCATAAAGAACCAAGTGACATGGGAAAAGACTCTTTACCGATCCATTGTCACCAACATCCTCCATAAGTTGCCCTTGCTCATAGATTTGCACGTCTCCAAAACTTTGCAAGCTAGAACAAGAAGTTGAAGATCCACAGGATGTCATTTTCCTTTCTGGGCTACTTGACCTTGAATTTACCCCCTCCTTCTTTGCCAAAGCTGCCTTTAGACTAGCAACCTGTGCACATAGCCATGAAGATAATATTGGGCCTTTATTTCAGTGAAAAATAGGTTACATTTTGCAACTAAAACATGCCTCTAATCAAAGAAAGGTTCATGTGTGCAAGTGTTCTCTCTCAATCTCAGAACCATCTGCGTTAACCATTATGGTAAATATTAAAATAGCAACGAACCTGTTCTTTGAGTTCTTTGACCTCAGAACTATCTTTGTTTGCGCGTGCTGCACCAAGCTCAACAGCAGACACACGCTCAGCAAATTTAAGAGTGCTAAGTGTCTCTCCAATGGCATCTTCCTCAGGACTAATGTGAACAAACATCAATGTCTTGGCTTGCCCCCCTAATAATATGAAGTTAAAGTCTCAACATCCCAAATCCACAACGTGGGAATGAATATTTAAACATTTCATTAAATAACTATGGATGCCCATATCTTACCGAGAGAATCTTGAAGAAGTTGGGTAAGCTTACTATTCCTGTAGGGAACGTGTGAACTCTTATGACCAAGGGCATATATCACATCTCCTAAAGCAGAGAGAGACTTGTTGATATGCTGAGCCTCCTTCAATCTGTCACCAACTGCTTCAGTTTTATCGGCTCTTTCACTTCCTGCCAGGTCAACCAGATGCAAACAACCACGAAGTATCGTTCCAGTTGTCAGGCCTCTTCCCTGGACGTGAACTGTGAGGCAACTGGAGAATGTAATCACCCCAAATGAATTTGTGATTGCTCAATGAGTAAAGACTATGTATTTAACTATCAATTGATTCATCCAAACCCTAGTAAAGGATTGAAAGTAAGAAAATATAAACACCTGTGGGAACGACTACTACGAGTGTTCATGGCTGTTGCACCCACTGCACGATTCTTCTGCCCAAGGTTCATCAACTTAAGGACCTCTGATGTTGATTTGACTGGTATGATATTTGCATCAGGTACATTTAAACCCTTCTGGGAGTTGTTACGAATTTCTAATGTTTTTGGAAGTCAAGAAAAATTATGCGGCAATGACAAAAAAAGAATTGATGAAAAAGTAGGCCCATAGAAAGGATATTTTTTTATGAGGCCATCCGTTGCAAGGAGATCTCTGACTTGTTCATTGTAAATTTCAATCATCTGAACTGAGACTTCATAAGCCATTGTGTTTTTTCTTTGCTCTGAGATGATAAATAGATCACCTAATGCCCTGCAATTGACACCTTCAGTTTCCGTTGTGAGCTCATCAGGTCCAGACTGTACATGTAAGAAAAATAACTATTAACTCAATTACTCAAACAAGAATGTCTGTCATACAGTAGCACCTCCATCATGTGTAAAATATCTTACCATAGTGTAGGTCTTTCCTGATCCTGTTTGACCATAAGCGAATATACAAACATTGTATCCATCAAGGACAGATCGAATAAGAGGTTGTGTGTCTGTAAATACTTCTTCTGCAGAGTTCAATAGAAAGGAAAGAAAACAATTAAAGAACAACTGTATCTATGAGAGGGAAAAGTGCAAATTGGGACAGTAGCTACCTTGGGTTGCAGATGGACCAAAACAGCGGTTGAAAGTGAACGTTTTCTTTCCCTCCTTTCCATATTTTGAAGGAGTGATTATTGTAATGCTTCCTTCTTCCACATGATCAATAGTGCTAAAACGATTTGGTTGCCCAGGCAAGAACGGACGCACCCGGCAATACACCCTTATACTTCCTATTCAAGTAAAATATTGTAAGTATTCCACATCATTAGACATTGCAATAACCCAATACTCCATATTCAAGTTAAATGCAGTAAACCTTTCACAATGCCGAAGTACCTTTAAGATCTTGCACTTGATTGTACAACTTGCGGTTTTCCTCCAAAACTTTCTGGTATCCTGACGCTGCATGAGCTAAGCCTTGTAGATGTTTACCTGATGAGAAAAAATATAAGATTATAATACTGGTCTTTATCGCAATATGCATGTGTGTGTGTGTGACAGAAAGAGAGAGAGAGAGAGAGAGAGAGATTGTGTGTGTGTAATCTTTACCTAGAGTATTGATTTCATCATGATATTTTACTTGTAGACAATGTAACTCTTTTTTTGTATCATTAATGGTAAATTTCAGGTCCTGGACAGTGAACAAATTTAAAATCAGTATGACTCTTGATTTTTGCTTATATTAAAAAAAAGTGAAATCATATGTGTGTATTCCAGATCTGAGTAAAATGCCTGTATATTTTGCTGTTGTTGCTTAATCAGCATGTGCTGCTTCTCATCCTGCCTTTTTGATATGATGTTATTAACTTCTCTAAGGTGAAAAGTTTCTTCAACAACTGATGTGGAGGTCTCTTTATCTTCAATCTTAAAAAGTAAAACAAAGGTGGTGATGATGATGATAAAATACCAAAAAAGCTTCCATATAAAATATCATTACAGGATGGTTAACCATTGCCTCTGTGTGAGGAAAGACCAGGGGACAAAAAGCTGGAGCTGATACATATTGAGATGCAGCAATGGGCATATCTTGAGAGGTTGAAACAGGTAAGTGTTGTGAAGTTGTTTCTATCTGTTATTATGTGAAAGTGGAAAGCCAATTAGCATGAAGCTCTTTAGTGTGTCATTATAAGCTACATTGCATTAGGGCTGAGGCTAAGAACTTTTTTCTTCTTCAAAATTATGGGATGCATATTAGAAATATTACATTGGTTTTCAATAAAATAGCTTTAAAGCTTGTATGGACTCTACTGGCAATACGGTTGCTGCAAATTTCAACTAAAAGAATTTGTTCCTGTTTTGGTTCCCTCAAAAAAAAGATACACAAACATGCAAAAGCTTTTCTAATACTCTCTTTTGGTTCCTCTAATTGTTAACATCAATGGCAAAAAATACAGGCCACTGATAGTCCACTTCATGTTTACAATTATCGTGTCACTGCTAGCACTGCGAATACCTTGATAGAAACAATAATAATCCCTCAGTTTCAAAGAAAGAAATCTTGCTTGTAATAGATATTTTAGTATAAGAAACATGACTCCTTTTTTGGAACTAAGGTTTGGAGATAATTTATAGTGCAGGTATATAACATATGATCATAACTCATACGGTTAGTTATGGTTATTCTTTCAGTTATACAAACTTATGTACAGGCTGTCCATCTTTCAGACACTCAATCTAAATTAAACAGAGCTAATGAATAATGATCAACGGCAGTGGCCAACTTCTAACAACTGAAGGATCTAAGGAAAGCACTTCAATAGTGAAGGAGTAATTTAGTAGAAGTGGGAACCAAAAGGGGAGCACAACATATCTGAAAAGATCAGCTACCATAGGTTATGAAATAATCTACCTTCATCTCTGTGGGAGGAACCTCCATAAGAGAATGAGGTGTAACATGAATATCTTGAGACGCTGTTTTAATCTGTCATATCATGAAAGTTGAAAGTCATTACAGTATATGACTTCAATAATCCTTTAAGCTATTGAATAAAATGATTAATCATGCACTTTAAATGTTTATGACCTTTACTGGCAAATGCAATTTATTTAAACAAAAAGCATTGCCATAAATTATAAAATTACACACATTTAAAACTGTAGGTGAACACTAAAAAAAACTGGAGCAGAAACATCTTGAGTAGCAGTTTGCCAATTTCCATCTTTCAACAACAAAAGTAACAACCCCAGTATAATCACAAATCCTTTGGGGTCTGGGGCATAAAAATGTATGCAACCTTACCCCTGTAAAAAACAGAGAGGCTGTTTATTTAGACACTTGATGCAGTCCTGCTTTTTCAACCCAAAAACTGGATAGAGGTAATAACAAATGAAATTTTAATTTTTGCCATTTTAAATTCGTCCATTATATACCCAAAGTTAAAACATTGTCAATAATGACTCTTTTTGCTCCCTTGGCAATGGATGCGAGCAATTTCCATCTATTGTACAATATGATAGAAAGAAAATGTTTCCTCATAAAATTTGTTGAGCTGCAAGATAAACTATGTAGATTGTACCCATATGTACCTCACATAATAACAGAAGAATATTTGAGAAAGGTTTATTGGCAGATGTGCTGGAAATGGCTAGCCTGTAAATGCTCTTTAAACTCTACCTGTTCATTCCGGCTGGATAAATGATGCTCAAATTCTTCCATAACTTTACTTAACAAATTTCCCACAACCTGTCAAAAAAATATATTCCTCATAAAAACATGTAAACTACTCTTTTCTAACAGATTAAGGGATGGTCAATCCAGAAGCATGAGGACGAAAAAAGCAGTGTGTGATCCTTAATGTTTTGATTTTCCAGTTCATTTCCTAGAAAAGAACAGTTAAGAATAGGTGCAAAGATCACTCACAAGTGGTATTTCTTCTGGTTTCTTATCAGCTAGAAGTTTGCTGACTAGTACATTCAAGGACCCCAATTGCTCCTACATGTTGTTGGGTGGTGTTGGATGACTTTGTAGAGTATACTATGATGTAGGGTAGAAAATTTAAATAAAAAAGCAAGCCTAGCTAACCGTCTCGCAATGATCATTCTCAAGGGAATTACTTTCAAGAGCCTTTTCAATGGCCGATGAGGTACGTGAAATGGAATTCATGAATGGCTCAGAATGCTTCAGAACAAATTGCTTCCCACATGATGTAGGTTTCACATTTCCGCTTAGTTTCCAGGACCCAATTCCACCTTCTTGTTTCCACTCGCTATATGATTTCAACGCGAGAACACAGTTCACAACTCTATATGGTTTTCCTCCCTGAGCCAAAGAAGAACATTATTATGACATATTAACAAGCCATACCATTATCATTTGACTTAAATATGGAACATCATAAACTGAAGAGTAATTCATAATCTTGATCCCAAGGATTTGGTACCAAGACCACAATAAATACCTACCTGTGCCAGATCGGAAGCTTCAAACGTTGGTAGCCCCATTTGCTCCACCACATCCAAAAAGTTTCGTACATTTTCGAAGTATTGGTATGCAGAAAGCGCTGCCCCATCAGCGACGGTAGCAGAATCTGGTGGAGCTTCAATGACCTAAAGGGCAATATTGAATGGAAATTAACCAACATCATATTCATATACCCATATATATAAGATCAAAAGTATATCAAGAAGAACAGTAAAACCTTACCTTCTGCACAGAGCCCGGCTGAACTTTATTAAGGGCATTGCAAAGTATAATCCCACTTCGCAACCCATGTCTGAAATCTTCTTCTGAAGGTTCAGCTGGTAAATCTTTACCAGCGACCACTCCTACAATCTTCCTTAACCACCTAGCTGCTTCATTTCTTCTCAATGCTGCATTACAACATTAAACTTGTAAATCTTATCAGCCCAAACACACAATTTATACATTTCCCCCCTCCACACAACCACCAAACACACACAAGGAAACAACAGTCCTTTAAACAATACGAGTATATAATAGTCCCATAATGATGATTACTATGTGACGTTGGGTATTAATATTTTTAGCCTACAGGTTGAAGAATCTAGAAGGCAAAATTTTATTAAATTCCAAAAAAAACCATGATTGAAACAATGAACCCAGGAAAGGTTGAAATAGGGATGACATTAGCAATCTGGGGCAAAAGAAATGATCATACACGCTTCTTCAGCTTTTCTGGCAGCATACAGATCAACGTTGCCCAACTTACTCCCGTGCTGTTCGATCACCTCCTCCACCACGGAAGCCGCCAATAACTGATTAGCCTCCGCCAACATTGCGCGGGAAAATGTACAAGAACGGCCAAGGATGTTCCAGAAATCCTTTTTGAAAAGAAAAAAAAACGAAGATCAAATTCGACAGCTCATCCGTCAACGTCAAGCTTCTAAACTCATTACAGCGCCAAAATATCTGTGCCGGAAAACGTGAAGAGTTTCTATATACAAATGTACAGGGGAAGGAACTGTAGGGTTTCCAGGCAGGATTGGAAGAGGAGGAGGAGAGGAAAAAACTGAATGTGAAAATTGTAGGAGGAAGAAGGTGGGGGGTGGGCGAGGCTTTTTCTAAATAAATTGTCAAAAGAAAAAAAAATCATTCCGCCATGTCCATGCTCTCATTCTGTTTCACGCTCTTTCCTGGCCGAAAGATTCGGGCATCGGTTCAAAATTTCGCCATGTCCATGCTCTCATTTTTTAATTTGTAAAATTGAATTTTAACTCCCATTCAATTATCTTATAAAGTGAATAGAAAATAATTTAAGTCAAACATGAGACGGAAGAATTATAAAGGCCTTGTATTCAAATTTGCGATTGTTTGTTGACTGTTAATTGTTTGTGTTAACTGATTTAAATAGCAGATTAAGTTAACTATTTTGATTTTTGACTGACTCATTGCATTAGCTATTCATATATTTAGCAAACTTAGCTTTTTTTAAAAAAAAAAATTTGTTGTAGATGAAATTTTATTTAAGAACTAACTTTTATGTATATGATATATACAATATGTTATAACTTATATATTATAAATTGAAATTTATATAATATAATATGCTCCGTGATATAATACGAAGTACAATTCATGTACATCATATTTATTTATTCATAGGGATGGCAACGGGTCGGGTTCGGGTCGGATAGTACTATACCCGAACCCGACCCGACTTTTAAAACCGAAACCCGAACCCGACCCGAAACCCGACCTTTAAAGCCAAAAATCCGACCCGACCCGAACCTGACATTTCAACCCGAAACCCGAACCCGACCCGAACCCGACTTTTAACCAATAATCAATTCGACGTACCCCAATAATTTTGAAAAAATTAAATCTAATTTTTTTGTGTCTCTTTTTTTATGTCTCCTTTTTTATTAAGGGATTATAAAAATGATTATAAAAGGCATATTTGATATAGTAGCACTTTGTCAAGAGATTATACGGAGTGCTCATTACATCCATAGATAGACTTTTTTGTAATAAAATATTCGGGTTTTAGTCGAGTCGGGTGCGGGTTCGGGTCGGGTCGGGCAAAATTATAAATCCACACCCGACCCGACCCGATGTCGGGTTCGGGTAAAAAATTTCGGGTCGGGTTCGGATTAGTTTATTTTCGGTTCGGGTTCGGATATTTTAGTAGTCGGTCGGGTCGGTTAAGCTCGGGTTCGGGTTGAATTGCCATCCCTATTTATTCATATATATTTACTCCCTCCATCACCAAATAAAATTCTAAGATATTATTTTAAAGTCGATAATTTTTGTTTACATGTATATTTTAAAAGACATAGTTTTGCTTTTCAAAAAGGAAGAACGTTTGCCCTCTATTTTGATGCATTACACTATTCAACAAATTATATTATTAAAACATTTATTCAATATATAAGTTTTTTTATTTATGTACTAATATTTGAATAAAATAGTTAAAAGAACTTTATTTTACCTCGTAAATCCTCCGTGAATTTTATTTAAGGAATGAGAAAGTAGTTATTATTTACTCATTTGTTTGTTTGTTAACTTATTTATTTATTTATTCAATAAATAATTATAACAATTAAAATATATTCAATTTGTCTAGTAGTCAAATCGAAAAGCCACTTTCCTAGCTTTTCATACTTTGACTTTTCGAAATCTAAGAATCATTTACCAAACACTCAATCTCGTTGTTTGATTAGTCAAAAGCCATCCAAAAAGCTACTAACCTAAAATGTCCGAAGTTTGCATTTTGGGCTAACAAAAATTGTAAAAAGAAGTTTAAAAAAAGATTCAGTTGAAGTTTCTTACTATTCAAGATTTAACAACTTGAAAAGTTGAAACAAAACAACAAATATCAAAATAAAACCTTAAAATGTATAGACTAATAAATTCAAAATTTTACTTCAATTGTAGATAAAAAAAACATATTGACATGCAGATTCAAATTAGAAATATATCTAGTACTACAAAAGATTTATCATGTAAACAAAAGCTGTAGATAAAACATAAATAGAATATGTAAACTTGTAAATAAGATTTATCATGTAACTTAGATAAAACTTAATTTTAATTCTTTAATTTCTAATTTTAAAATCGTAATTCCAGGTTTTTAAACCTTAAATTTTAAGTTTTAAAATGTTCACTTTAATTTTTAATTTTAAATTTTTTAATTTCTAGATTTTAAATTATAGTTTTTTTATATTTGTAATTTTTACTTATAAAATTTGAATTTTTAATTTTAAACTTTATATTTTTAATCATTAATACTCAAATTATGACTCCAAAATGATTCGTTTGATTTCATTTTGACTGGTATAATTTGAATTGTGGATTTCAAATTCTTTTCCTATGTTATAGAATTTAAATTCTAAATTGGTAAGTTTAAAATTTTAGTTTCTAAATATTAATATAAGAAATCATTTTTTAAAGAAAATATTCTACTTCTTTCTAAACAACGAAAAATATGATTAAAAAATGTTTTTATTTGGATATCATTTTCCTTTGGAAAATATTCTTCTAAGAGCTGAGATTATTTCCCCCCAACTAAACACACCCTAAAAAAACAAAAACTATACTACATAATTTTTAACTAGTTCAAATCGCAATTTTTAACACAGCTTTTCATGATATATTTGCATGGAAGCTAAGAACAACATCAACTATAGCAGCTATAGAAATCAAAACTGCCAAAATAAGAAACTTTCTGTAGCTCACGACCTATTCTAGGCTAAGGCTTATTTAGTTATGACTTGGCTATGAAGTAATTAGATTCACCTTCAGAATAAAGGTCAAGCTCAACCGACTCGAAATTTCCTTGTTGGGTGGGTGAGATCCCTGTTCCCTTTGGAACAACAGTTCACAGATCCCCTTGCGCATGTTTTTATTACTTGAATAGCCATTGGACCCATCATATACCACATGGCTCTAACCTCTTTATACTTATGGCATGACTTATCTCTATTCCATGCAAGTCAATTAGACTAAAACATCGGCCTAGTGGTGGGTGTGAACACCTACGCTTACTGTCATACAATCCGTTTGCACTGTTGCGATCGGACAGTTAAACTCTATCCAACGATATAATTTTTATATTTATTTGTAATACTTTTTCCGACATCATATTTTTGGGTGTTTGACTTTGACAGAGTCCAAATTGATTCAGTTGACTTTTATTCAAAAAGGTTCTCATATTTAATTCGTATTATTTATTCTCATGATTTATTTTGATAATAAATCATTTCAAAGTTCACATCATAACAATTTCTTCATTTATCCTTGATTTGGGTCTATACTATGGTTCCCAATCAAAGTCACACAATAAAGTCAACATATTGGATTTATCTCCATGAGATTTATCCAGATTGTGATATTGGATATCAAAACACATTTTATTTCGGCCCAAAGCCCAATAACAATTTATTTTAATCAAAACAAATTTGATTAATTGAATAATTATTCATTAATAATTTTGGGATATGTTTTGGGGCGTTACAAAGTACTTTAAGTTTTGTAATATGTGGATGACAGCCCCACAATTCTCAACCATATTGCATGATTACTAGATAAATGATAGTAAATAAAGGAGTGTGTATCTACTTGTACAAAACCTAAAGATGCTCAAAGATCCCCTTAAAAAGTTGCATAGGGATAAATTCAATATGATACACCAGAAAGTGGATGCATTGAGAGAGAAATTGATTAACATTCAGGACCCTTCAGGAGCAGGATCATACTAATCATACATTGATATAGAAAGTAAAAGAGCTATTACAAGAACTGAATAATGCTATTAGTGCATCTCATTAACTGAAATGTCAACAGATTACGCAAGAATGACTCACAGAAAGAAATCCAAATTCTAGGCTATTTTATGCTTGGGCTAAAAAGAAACAATTGAACAATTATATAATGGCCATCCAAAGATAAGATGGGAAGGAAGTTGAAGGAACTGATGATGTTGCAGATGTACTGGAAAAACACTTTAATAATATGTTGGGAATCCTAGTACATACAATGGATATTGACAGAAGTATTATGGCAGCAGGAAAGAGTCTGAATGTTGGACAATAGCTGGAGTTGATAAGAGAATTTAACCTTGACCAGGTTAAAAAGGCTATCTTTTCTATTCTTAATAACAAAAGTCCAAACCCCGATGGTTATAATAGTGGTTTTTTAAAGAGCAATGGGCAGTGGTAGGGAGACTAACAACAAAAGCAGTTTTAGATTTTTTCAAGGATGGGACCACGCAGAAACAAATTAATGCTACATGCATTACTTTGGTCCCTAAGGTGGCCACCCCATTGAAGCCTTCAGATTACAGACCTATATCATGTTGCAATACAATCTACAAGGTGATCTCTAAACTCTTATGCATGAGATTGAAAACTGTGTGGCCTCACATTGTGGATCTAAACTAATCAGCATTCATAAAAGGGAGGGAGCTACTGCATAATGTACTTCTATGTCAGGAAATGGCAAAAGGTTATAACAGAAAAGGGATTTTACCTCAATGCATGATGAAGTTGGACATTCAAAAAGCGTATGATTCTGTGAGCTGGAAAGCCATAAGGGAGATTCAAATTTGTATGGAATTTCCAGAAAAGTTTATTAAATGGATCATGTTCTGCATATCCACACCAACCTATATGTTAAATGTCAATGGGGAGTGTCATGGTTACTTTAGAGGTGGAAAAGGTTTGAGACAGGGTGACCCAATATCACCCTTGATTTTTGTGCCAATAATGGAGTATCCGACTAGATGTTTAAGGATGGCTGCCCAAAAAGAGAGATTCTTCTTTCATCCCATGTGAGGATTTTCACAACACTACTGGATTGAAGATTAATCCCAAGCTATTTTTGGAGGTACTAATCAAGCTAAACAAGAGCAGCTACTGGGATTTTAAACATTAAACTTGGTAAGTTTCCATTTACATTATTGGGTAGCC